TGTGACCTCCTCGTCGTTAGCCGCTGACTGTAGTTGGTTGAGAAGTAAAAACCCATTCCCTGCAGGGTCAGAGGTGCACAATATCCAGTGGTTGTTTTCCTGTTCAACTTTGTGGCAGTTCAAGAAGGTGTGAGCCGTCACCTCGTATTCTTTGCCATATGTAGTCCTGCAGGGACAAAACTGTTACCTAAAGAATGACAGCAGGCATGCAGGCATTGTAACATGACTTTTAGCTGCTATATTGGAGGTCCTCATCTTTTGACAACAAGTGGCTGTGAAGAGCTGACTACAACTAAATGCGAAACTCTACCTTGTCATTAGAAGTGAATCTACATGGTGTATATCTGCAACATTTTGATAGGAAACTGGTGATTTTTATGAAGGTACATAAGATTGTTTTGTCTGCGTTAAGAAAGCTGATTCTTATGAAGCTACAACTCATAGTTGCCATGGAGTTGACTGGGGGTAGAGACAGGGTTTCATGTCACTAAAACTCACTGAAAACTCATTTTGAAAAAAAAAGCTTCATCAGGCTTTACCTTTTTAGTAAGATGACCTGCATTCACATTATTCCTATGATCCTATTTGCCTATTATTTCAAGTCAATGGGCCTCCAAGTTGATATCAGACATGAGAGCAACACAAATCAAAAGTCTTTACTGTGTATTGCATTTAACACAAGCATATATTCTGCTTGGTTTGGAGTTGCTTTTAAAAGGAAAATGGAAAATACTGTACCAAAGCACTTGATCATCCAGAACAGCAAGAGCCTGGTTTGTCTTGCAGTGTATGATGAGCACCTTCACATTAGCCTGTAAAAAAAAGTCTATTGATAATTGCATGGACATTCTCAAAACAACAGAGGTGAAGGAAAGCAAAAGAAACAAAGTATTTTGTATACTGTGTTTAGATAAGCATTTAAACAACAGAAAAGACTGGTGTTGTGACAGGTGGAATAATTAACCCTGAACATACAGTAAAGACTTACAGGAACAGGCTGACCCTCATATTCAAGCCTCTCCTGTGGGTCAAAGTGCACTATCTTCCACCATGAGCGAAAGGAACCGCCCTCATCCAAGTTTACTTCCTGTAGGCGGGACTTCTTCGCACACTTTGAATGAAATCACAATAATATAAGATTGACAATATTAGAAAGTCTAGTGAAAAGGACAAAAATAACTGCTGCATTCTGTGTTGTGAGAGGTGAGAATATTTTCCACTTGTCCAACTCATCAGTTGGATATTTACTTTCTTCACATTTTGTTAGTTTATTTTATTTATTAATTAGAATTAAAAAAAACTTAGAGAGCTTGTGTAACTTAAATTCACCGCTCAAACACACTTCCCAGCTGAAACTACAGAGGGAGGCCTGAGCTATCTAGAGGTACAGAGTGATATTACAAGACAGGATGGGCTGCTAGCCAGCTAGTTAGAATGCTGCTAACTTCAGTACCTCTGCAACATAATACATAGACATCTACATTGTTACTTCTTCACATTATGTTGAGAATGTTAGGTACGTTTGTTTTATTGAATGTTTTAAACTAAAGTTCTTACCATATCTTACACATTGTACCTTTAAGTGTGCATGTAAGTTTACACACATTTCTGCTTTGTTAAAACGTCTCAGCACAGTTGGTGGTTGTTCAGTATAATGTATTCTCCTTGATCATCTTGAATAAAAACTTGATCTACCTTTTGAAAACTTCGCAGGTCACTCGTCAAGAAAAGCTAAGGAAAGAAAGAGTAAATATGTAAACACACAAAGTGACACATGAGATTTATGTGGTTTTCTTCCTGATAGGCTCAATTGTTGTTTTTAACTGAATGTAAAGTCCCAGTGGAATAAAAAAGAACAGATCTGTTCAATAAACCAAATTATTAAAACAATCAAAAACTTTATACTATTCGCATAACTTGGCCATGAACAACTGATGGTAATTTTTATTAAATATGAAGTATAATTCACCAATTTATAGCACTTCAATAAAGTTTGAGGACTCTGAGAGACAGATTTAAAATAGAATGGTCAAAATCAAAGAAGCTGAGGCAGATATGCCTTGACTTCTTAGTCCCTATTATATACCTCCCATAATGCAATGCAGTTGCATCTGTTATTAGAAAAATGGCCTCTTCTTTAAAACTGCATACCCCCAGTATGTAACACTTAATTTACGTCAAAACTCTGAAGTCTCCAGGCCCAACTGAGATAACATTTATCTATAATAACCAATCATCACGGTTATTTTCTTAAGACTTTAAGGATATTCCTTCCCAGCTGTTGCACAACTGTTTTCACAGGCAGTACTCCTAGTGAAATTCAAACTGAACTCTATGTGTAAAATCAGTGGAGAGCCCCTTTTATAGCAGTCAGTCTTTGTGTAAAGTAGTTCATTAGATTATATATATGTGTGTGTGTGTGTGTGTGTGTGTGTGTGTGTGTGTGTGTGTGTGTGTGTGTGTGTGTGTGTGTGTGTGTGTGTGTGTGTTCACTTACCCCCCTAGCAAAGCCACTTGTTGTTTTCAGGGCAAAACTTTGCTCAAAATTCAGAGTTGATCCCTCAGGACTGCCATCTACACTGTGGTCACACAAACAGCATTGGTGGTTTACATGTGGGGGTGTTACCACATGTGTTGGGATGTATGTTGATGTAGTTTCAAGTGTGTTTGTGTGTGTACCTGGTAATGATGAAGGCAGTGCGTGTGCAGGCCTGGATACCCCTTCCTGCACTGATTCCACATGGAGCTTGAATGCCAGCCGAAGGAATCTTTGTCAAACTGGTAATGTCTGCGTTAATGCTTACTGCACTGCACTTTCTGTTTTCTCCTCCGATGTTTACCAAAATCACAACATCCCCAAAGTGCAATCTTCCATCATTTGTCACAGTGAGATTCACCTACACACATGAACAAACATCATCATCATTACGATCCCCATCATCATTGTGATGTTATTGTTGTTAATGTTGCTCTTAATTAAACTTTTTTTTACCGGTCTCAAAATGTTCTGTTTGAGAAAGTCTACTTTCTGGGCAGCAAGCTCACCCTTCTCTTTTTTCTCCATATACTCTTTCTTCACATCCTGCAAAAACATCATCACATAGTTTGTATTCTTTACCACGACCCCACCACTGCTGGTTGTATACTGTAAGGTCAAATAAAAACCAACATCATTGCATAATTGTTGGGTCTTTATTAAAAACATTATCTTGGCATAACGATAGACACACACTTTATTACCCACTTGAGTGTTTCCTTGTGTCATTGTTTAATGCACATGTAAATAGCAAGTTAGCCAAGTGGGTGAGTCAAACATGAGACAAACTCATGCCGTGCAGACAAACTTTGTTCAAACCTTAGTCTACAGTTCACACCCACATAACTTATTTTAAGTTCTTACAGAGATCCCAAAGATTTAGGGAAATATATTTATATAAAAGAGAGAAATATGTATTAAATAATGGACATGACATCTAGTATGTTCCTATTAAAAAGGTGCAGTCGTAAAAAAAAAAACATGGAGTCTTGGGTTTAAAACTTCACTCATGGTAAACATCATATATCTTCAGCGAAGAGTTGAAACAAGCCAATACACAATAGGCTACATATGATACTGTAGGACAATGTGGAATAGGATTCTTTTTTTTAAACCTTAAAGCATAAAAAGGTAAAAATTGAGCTTTAATATCATTGTATCATTATTAGATTCATTTTCAGTTATCTTAGTCATGCTCTTAACCCCTACTGGTAGTATGATAAATAATTATGCCCTTTTTCTTGTTCAGTTACTGAATGGCTAAAGCATTTCTCTTTCCCTGTAAATAGGATTTTGCAATTTAACAATACAAACCAGACTACATTTGGCTCTGCATAAAACCAATTATTTTGTTGATGTTGTCATCCCTTTTATTCATCAAAAGATACAATGTAGTTGCAAAACAGTAGGGTACAGTAAAAATTCAGTACTGTATTCAGTTAACATTAGTTATTACCCCCTTGGTTATTATTCTTTCTTCTATTGGTTGTTTCTGTAGGTCACACTAGAACAAATGTAACTTAATAGCTAATACTTACTACCACTATTAATAATATAATAATAATAATACAATCCAACAGCTAACCTTTTTTAAAAAGTGACAATATTTTAACAATTATTTTTAACGTTACTTTTACTATTTACTTCCACAGCGCTGCTCGGCTTACCGGGGTTTGTTAAACTGAGGTGGGTAACGTTAGCCTGATAATCAGACTTAATTGCCATTTTAAATCCGTTTTCTGTCATTAATATGTAAGAGCATGTGCAAACAACTTCACTTACAAACTTCTGTTTAGAAATCGCAATAATAATTTCGCAATTATAAAAAAGCAGGCCCGCAATGTTAGCTAAGATGAATGACTTAACACATAAAGTTCGTCCGGCAATGTGAAACGGGCACCGACCACAAACTTAAGCTTTATTTTAAAACAAACCTCTTGTAAACGCAGGTCTTCATTCCAGTTTCCGATTCTCACATTTGTGCGATAAGCCATTCTGGGAATACTACAGACTAATACTGTCTGAGTACTAATACGGTAATAAGCTAAACTTCTGGTGTTTTATCTGTTTAAAGTAGCTTCGGCATGGTTTGTGTTCTGGTTTCTTTGGTAACTGACTGTAACAGAGGAACTGACGTTTCATCTTCTGTCAGTTCTCGTTGATTATCGCGAGGGGGCGTGCTGTTGCAGTCCTTTGATATCCAGAGCCAGCTGATAGAGCTGCTCGTTGTGCTTCCCACTCCAGCAGGACGAACTCATTAAAAAAAGACACATACAGCTTTTAAAAAATAAACACACACACACAGTAAGTCACAGTCACAAAAAACATAATTTTCCCAGTAGTGCTTTGGTCTTGCATTAATGTGCCCCACCAAACACACACATGGGACTCACATGTCATCTTTGTCATTATCATCATCATCATAAATTATTCTCAACAACATACAAAAATGCAAAAACAACACTTTAAAGGAGTCTTCCTCTATGTTTAATTAGGAGAAGAATAAGATAAGTTGTTAAAGTGTCTGAATTAAATGAATTCCCGCATCCATGCTCAAACAGTTTATGTATCCTTCACAGTTCCTTTAAAAAGAAATCTCTGCTCAAGTGTTTTTACTCTTTTATACATATAATTGGATTACAGCTGCAATCCAGACTGAATCTGTCCATGCTGCCTATTTTCCTTTTTCTCTGTTGGTCCGGCCTCTGGCTCCAGAGCCATTAATGTGATTCAGTTTGTGGTTTCTTTCCTTCGGTGAGTCACTGTCATCCTCCTCTTCATCGCTCCTGTCGTCACCTTCCAGCTGCAGGATGAAGGTAAGCCACAGAGAAGAGGAAAAAAAATCAGGGTGAACCAAAGAGAAGCAACAAGACATGTAATTTGTAGAATTAGCATGCTTTTCATACATTTATGTCCTACATATAAATGAATATACACCTTGCTGAAGATAAGCTTATAAACCATTCGTGATATGAGAGCAGCCCAGTAGAGGTGGAGTATCTGTAGAACCAACAACATCACATTGAAGAAGTAGTAGCCAAAGAAGGGAGAGAACTCATCCAGTGGGTACACCCACGTACAGTGGATCAGCCTGTAGAACATAGCACACATAATATTAATAATTTTCACACATTACACCAAGATTGCCGTCATGCTCCATCCTTCCATTTCACGCACTTACCAGAAAGGAAAAATGACAAGTCTTGTCACAATAAAGAGAAGTGTAAACACCACAAATATGGCGTTAGCAGTCTGGTGCCACTTGGCGTAGTTGAATACCTTTGCACCCTGTGAGTTAAAAACAGGGAAAAGAATCAGGTTCATTTTTTTTGTTTGTTTAAAAGCAGACATCTTTGCTACTGTTATTTAGTTTGAATCATGTCACAATCCCCATACAAGAAGGACATTTCTTTCCTATGCTAATAGGGGGTGGACATAATATGAACACTTGTACAATCAACAGCAATTGTGAAATTAATAGTGATATTGCCTTGATAACTGCTGTTTAATATAAAAATTAAGCACCAAGTCTCATGCACACTAGTATCAACCTCCTCCAACTTTAGCGATCTAAATTGTGTTACCAACTGCTACCTGTAAATCCGAGTAGGATGTCTTATGTATTTGTGAAGCTAGCATGAAAAAAAGAACATTTCACTGTTGTTATTGCAGGGTGAATGGGCAGTGCAGGTGGTTCAAAGTTGAGTATATATGTTTGTTAAGGTTTTTTCTATCCTGCTTCCAGCAATTTTAGCAATCAGACATCTTGAGTGCAGTTTATAGGCTCTGCATCAAACAACTAATGCAACTTAATGGCCACATTTTTACCCCTAGTGGCAAATTGTTATGCTTTTCTTTGAAGTCATAAAAAGTCAGCTTTGCAATCTTAAATTACTTTTTGATGAAAGGGAATAACTGTTTCTTAAGTCAGTCTGTTGCTGCAGAACTGTGACAATGCAAAATCAGTTCTCTGCTAATACCGCATCAGCCTAAGGTATGGCAACATATAACATAGATTAGCTTGCACTGCATTCTGACCTCTAGCAGTATGTCAGCGGAGTCGTGAACTGCCATCACAAGGGTTCCAATACGGATGTAGTTTGAAATCCAGGAGAAACTCAGAAGAGTCAGCGTGGCTATATGATGAATCACCTGCTCTTTGAAGTCCTACAAACACACACATGACAAACATCTATGCATATGACACATAGACATCCGCAATTTATTGGCAGAAATGCACACCTTTTATGATACATTATGAATAAAGAATTTAGGTGAGATTAAATTACTGTACACCTTTTGAATAAGTGCAGTACGTCACTTTGATTTTATACATCTGCACACATCACTACACTCACCTTTCGTTTTACATCAAATGTGAGGCTGAATAGCAGAGAAAGGTAGAAGCCCATTTCCAAAAGGTAATACCAGTACTGAGATGGCAGCATGGACTGCATGGACACATAACACACACAGTGTATGGATGCTTATCATACTGCATACTGTAATATTGTACAAGCGTTCATAATGGCAAAGGCTACACTTACCTGTTTAGGGAAGCCTGCCCAGACCTCCTTCAGATTATAAAACCAAGGTTTCTACAGCCAACAAAAACAGAGAGGGAGAGGAGTGTGAGAGTGGTTGGAGAATAGCCTTGGAAAAAGCAACAAGGGCCACAAGCTCGTGCATGTCAGCTGTCAGAGTGTGAGAAAAACCCTGAAGCACAGAGAGACATAGGAGATAGGACGAAAAAAAAGTCTGCACACTTTACATTACAGCAAAATCAGTGCAGAACACCCAGGGAGACGAGACAGAGGGAGAGAAAGACAAAATAAGGAGAGAGAAACAATTTGTGAAATGATTCAAACTGGAAAATTGACTGGCACAAGAGACAAATCCTGTAATAGAAACAGCTACTGTGAAACGACATGGAAATGGCCAACCGTACTTACATCATAGAGAGCCAGGACTCCACAGACAAATGCAAACAAATAAAACACACATCTCCAACTGTAGACAGACAAGAACAGTAATGTCACATATTTACACATGCATGCTCATTCCCACATCAGTGCATAACCACACACACAAGCACACACACCTGGCCTCACAGAACCTCTTGCGGAGCCCTGGGCGCTCCTGGTTCCTCCTCTTCCTGAACCAGAGTTGAATTCTCCTTTCTGGCCAACTGGTCTTCTTACACAGAGACTTCACATCAGCCTGAGACACAAAGGAAACGATCCAATTCTTACACTCTTTCCACCCCAGGATGCACAGTACTCTGACGTTATACACCAGCATTAAGTTTTACTCTCTGATTAGCAGTGTTTGAGGCAAAAAATATAAATAAAGTAATTTACTCTGCATCTTATTTTAGCAATAATAAGCATGATCAAACATTTGTGTTGTGTCGTGAAATGACCCAATTTAACATACCTGTGATGGAAACCGTGCTTGGCTGCAGAAGTACTTTTCTAGGATGGGGTGTGATTCTGCTATGAGACGTAACCTGTCTCTCACTCCCCAAACATTAGCCAGTGGTGTGGCCAGGTACCTGCAACAGCACACAAACAACATTACATACTGCATAGCAAATGATCTGGCACAGCACAGCTTTGTCTTGCTCCATGCAGCTTGTGCAACATAATCCCAGTATTCTGAAACCAGACAATTGCGCTGCAAAGCTCACTGACACCAGGCACTTTCACACACATACTCATATATTCTCACCTCTCAAACAGGTATCTGACTAGGAGCAGGCAGAGGGCGCAGGGCAGAGCAGCGTAAAGTTGAGAGGCTTTCGCATAGACACGACCTTCATTGTCCTCCAGATCTGACCAGGAGACGTTTGCTGGCAGCCACAGACGGTCCCACCACAGCCACTGACTCACTGTCTGCATCATAATGCTAGGAAACACAAATACACACGTTAAAGGTACCTTCAATCCACTTCCAAGACAGAACATTAGTTCACTGATATGAAAGAAATTACAAGTGAAGTTGTCATACCACATGGGTAGTTTTTATTTTGTTTGCCTTCACCAGCAGGGAGGCACTTTACATTAGTTTAGTACTAAAGAGGTAATAATTAAGTAATACCACGTAATTACCTAAGTAATAAGCAGGTAATAGCTTGGTGTTAACAAGGGGCAATATTTGGTAAATATTAGACTGAAATTTATGTAACAGGGTAATAATGGGGAAACACATAAAGATAGCAATGAGATAGCAACTTTGCTAATAAATGCTAATAATGAGGTAATATAGGTTGATGTTTTCACAATATTATAGGCTACTATCAGTGTATCACCTTCAAAATCACATGAAAATTCTTTGAAGTTAGTATTGGTAATAACCACATTATAATGCTAAAAGCTAGGGTTAGGGTTACCCACTGTTGAGAATTACCTGGTTAAGACTTAATTACATGGTAATACTTAATTATTACCTCTTTATTATAAAACTATTACCCCACTTTTACCATGTTATTACTGAGCTCTATTGTAAAGTTACCTTAAACTGCTTAATTTTAACACTCCAAAATGATTAAGTCTAGATTAAAGATTTGTTCAAGTGGATTTATTTATTCTTCCAATTAGTATAAAGCAATGTCCGCTGGCCAAAGTAGTGCATATTCACTGTAATTCTGTGGCAACCAACCCAGTTTTTGAAAAATAAACTGAACACTGGACACAGGCAGCTAGGGCTCCCGTCCACATGGATTCTCAGCCAGAAATGCACCACTTATTTGTTTTGAATCTACAGTGCCAATTTTTAGTTGTGGCTACTGCTATGATTTGCCAGTACCTCCTACTGGTCTCTGACAGTGCAGCTGCTCTGTGGATGTGCAATCAAGAAGGAAGTGAGTAAATTGGAGATGAAAACTGCAATAGATACCAAAGGGCAAGAAAGATAAAGAAGGGTGAGGAGCCATTAAAGGAGGAAAAGATTAGATAGTGCTTTCCCATGTGGACTCTGCCCGTAACAGAATGTAGATAAAAACATGTTATTTGAGCAGTTAGAATGTGTATATGTTTAAAAATGTGTGATCCAAGCTGTTTAAACAAAAACTTTAAATATTGCTGTGATGCCAGATGATGATTACATATTAGTGTGTCCCTGAACCTCGTTATAAGTTAATAAGTCAGCATGGGAAAACAAGCATACATACCTGCGAGCAGTGTTGTCATAACAAGTTCCAACAGAAGACAGGGAATCTGACGCGGATACAGAAATCCAATTAAACTATAGTAAAATGTTAAATCTATACTGATCTTTATTTTGAATATTTACAGTTTATGCCTACAAATGTCTAAATGTTTGCATATTGGCTCCTTTGTTGCTATCCATCCTATTGTTGTTATCCATCCATTAATGTACGTACATGCCCAAGCTTACACACACACAAACACACACTGAAACACACACTCCCTTCAGTACGCCCACTGTGAGACGTACATTGTGTTTCCCAGTCTGTCTGCTACATATAGCTCATGTGCTGCACTTACCCACGTCAGATAACAGTCCCTTAATAGATCCTATATGTTCACTTTTTCAGCTATTGTTGGCCATTCTTCAAAATAAAAAGTAAAAAAAAAAGACAAATATTTTCTCATGAGCTAATGCTTTCCTAATATGTACACTTTACCTCATTGTGTGCAAGACAACATGCACCAGTGAGCATGTTAATATTTTGAGCATGCGTGTGGACGCTCACCTGGTGTGAAACAATGGGATCCTTCCCTCCCACTCTGTCTGCTCTGGTGATCACACCCTTGTAGTTGCAGCAACGCCTTTAAAGTAAGGTCAGCTCAGCACTGGAAACCCCTAACTGCCCTTGGAGCATTTTGTATTTTCACTTGTGAGTTTTAAGCTGCAGCAGTCATCTGAGCGTGGGATTGTTGCTACCTCACCTGCAAGAATTCCTTGGAATGCTGGGAAGCACCCACAAAGGCCCCA